CCCCAGCCCCAAAACCCCAAAACCCCAAAACCCCAAAATATAAAGAAAATACTGAAATTTATTTTAAAACATATCCTAATTTTTTACAAAATGCTAAGCATAATTCAAGAGGAAGTAGCCCAAGAAGAGGAGCTCAATAGAGATATCCAAGAAGTACGTCCCAAAGAGCTTGCCAGCTCTAAGGCTAATAGAGAGCTTGACCCCAGCCAGGTGGAAAGGAACCAGATTGTTAAACAAAGTGTCAAGATTCTCAGGTGATCCCTCACACAGAAGAAGTTACAGAAAATTCGTAATTTTGGGGGAGCAAGGAAGATCCAAAGGGTGTCCAAACAGAGAGCTCTCTCTCCACAATCCACTTCGAAATTTTTCAAGAAGAGAAGTGAGGGTCCTCGGAATTGTAAATCTCCAGGACCAAGACTGAAGAGAAACTTGGTTAACGATACTCAGAGCCATATGAATCCTGTTTGAAATCCTAAAACTAAGTTCTTAAGCCAATATGTAAGTTTCAATTTTAAAATTTATTTTAGGATTTCAGAAAAATTTTCAGGTCTCCAGTCAAGCCAGCCATCAAACCTTCTGAAGCTTTACCTGAAGTCCAAAGACTGGTTGAGCCTAGTGTAAGCTTCTAGTTTAGATTTCTGAATTAGCATCCTAATTTGATGCTTACCAGAGTTATAAATTTTTACGGTCAGGAAGAATTCCTGACAATAGAATTCTTCACAATTATTGCAGCCTCACTGGTCCAAACCAGGGTGGAAATTTATGATGAATCTTCTTCTTGTCCATCAAATCTCTGACAGCTAGTAATAGGCACCAGAACTGACGAAAGAGACTGCTCTCCGCCACCGCAGGTGGCGGAAGAAGGACCTCTCTTTCCAATCGGGTTCCAAGGACTGTGTCTATCTGCAGCCTCTGAGAATCAAGCCTAGGAAGAGAGCATCCAATCTGGTCAAGATCCCTAAGGACTTGTTACTAAAGAATTTTGATAAATAAGAAATTGTTCAAAACTAAGACTTGGATTTCTTCTCCAAATGTAGCTAGGTTTCTCCAGTTTTAGGCAAATAAGTCAACTCTGGTCAGTACCAGAGAGGGTCAGATTTTAGATTTTTAGTGCATTTTTGGGAAGAGCGGGAATATGACCCATAATGAAATGTTTCAGATTTAGCAAAAGTCACTATTCATTATTCGTTGTAATGGATTGGGACTTTTGAAGGATTTCATATATTTTTTGAATGGAAGATACAGACTAGAGACTTGAAGGGGAGGATAGGATTTTAGTTAGGAGACATTCCTGATTTGAGGAGAAAGATCAATCAATAGGTCACATTCATTTTGAAGAGTTTTATATGAAATCTTCTAAAAGATCGCTTTTATGTGAATTATTAGGAATAAGCAGTCTGAATTTTCAATAATTTTAATTCTAACAGGGGTTTTGGGGTTTTGGGGTTTTGGGG